CTGGACAGTGAATAAGGAAGACCATAGAAAAATTGATGCTTTTGAGTTACAGTGTTGGAGGAAAATATTGAAAGAGCCATGGGCTGCCAAAAGAACCAATAGATCCGTTTTGGAAGAAGTGCAGCCAGACTGCTCCTTAGAGGCCAAGATGGCCAAACTTCGTCTCTCATACTTTGGACATATTGTTAGGAGGGAGCAGTCGCTGGAGAAGGATATGTTTGGTAAGGTGGAGGGTCGGAGAAAAAGAGGAAGACCCCCAGGGAGACGGATTGGCCAAGTGGCAGCATTGATGGACTCAAGCGTGGCAACGGTAGTGAGGTTGGCCCAGGATCAGTCAGTGTTTCGTTCTGCTGTGTATAAGAGGTCGCTATGAGTTGGTACTGACTCAATGGCACCTAAGAACAACAACAAACAAACGTGGGACAAACAGCACTCTGTCCACTCCAGTTGGCAGTTATTCAAGTCTCTCTTGTATTATTCACTTTATTTGTCCATGTTTTGCTGCCTTTAAATTATTGTAAAGTGCCGTTGAGTCGATTCCAAGCCATAGCGACCCTGTATAGGGTTTCCAAGGAGCAGCTGGTGAACTTGAACCACTGACCTGACAGTTCAAACGACTTTGCAGTTTGATGCATTAGCCCACAGCACCACACCATGTCTTTAAAACTCCAAAAGGGCAAGGACAATGCAATGCGTTTACTTAATTATGGTTTTGTGTCCGTTCTCCACTTCTCTTTCTGCCCCACCAACCAGTGTTTTGGAGCAGTAAACCTACTGACACTGAATCTATTCTGACTCACAGAAACGCTAGAGAATAGAGGAGAACTGCTACATAGGGTTTCTAAGGCTGTACATCTTTACAGAAGCAGACTGCCTCATCTTTCTCCTGCAGAGCAGCTGGTAGGTTCGAACAGCCTGTTTTACCCACTAAGCCACCAGACATCCCTTAGTTGTAGACCCTTGAAAGCTATTTGACCAGCACTGTATGGATCAGTACAAATATTCTGGAGGGCAATTAGACAGTATCCAAATTGAAAAAATAGAAAGGGAAGAAGAACATATATATATATATATTTGTATAACATTTTAAAAATCATAGTAAAATGTTTGAGCAACCTAAATGTCCATTACAGAGAACTGATTAAATAGACTGCAGTATTTCCATATAATGAAATAGATTGGGCAGCTTTAATGAAGGTACACCTTGGAGATATTACAGGTTTGGTCCCAGACCACAGCAATAAAGCAAACATCAATAAAGTGAATATTACAATAAAGCAAATCTCACAGCTTTTTTGGTCTCCCAGTGCATAAAAGGAATCCTGATAGCTTAGTGGGTTGTATTTTGAGCTGCTAACCACAAAATCAGCAGTTCGAATCCACCAGCGGCTCCATGAGGGAAAGATGAAACTTTCAGACTTGCAGTCTCGGAAATCCTATACTGAATAGCTATGAGTTGGAACCAATAGCACACATCTGCAGTGCATATAAGTTAGGTTATGTTGTGTTTACATTATACTGTACTTTATTAAGTGTTCAGTAGCATTATGAAAAGATCTGAAATACTGTTAGAATTACCACAATGTGACACAGGTACAAAATGAGAACATACTGTTGGGAAAATGGTGCCAAGAGACTCACTCAGTGGAGGGTTGCCACCAACCTTTAACGTGTATGACATGTTAATATCTGCCAAGTACAGTAAAGCAAAGCACAATAAAACCAGCTCTGCCATTTTTGAGTAAAACTCTATTAATTGCCATAAAAAGATGTCCAAAATCTAATCAATGGAGAGGGAAAAGGTTAAAAATTTCACCAAGATGTACAGGTACTTCCCTTTGTTGTAATGTTGTGAAGTTCCATGGAGTAGGTTCCGACTCATAGCAACCCAGTATAGGGTATACCCTACAGCTCCACACCAAAACTGTGTTGTAATGTTGTTGTTAAATGCCATCAAGTTGGCTCCAACTCATAACAACCCTGTATAGGGAGAGGCTGGTGGATTTGAACTGCTGACCTTGTGGTTCAAACCGAACTTGCAGTCCAGAATATTAACCTACAGCACCACAATATAAAACCTTTTCCTAAAAAACAAACCAAAACAAACAAACAAAAAACCTTTTCCTATATAAATCTGTAATCTGCAGTGTTTTTCTCCAATGACTGCTTAAGCCTCTAATGAATCTGTTATTGAATGCCAGCTATTTTCATTTCCTTCTGGCTGTTGTTGAGTACCTTGGAGTCGCTTTCTACTCTTAGCGACCCTACACAGGGTTTCCAAGGCTGTAGATCTTTACAGGAGCAGAACGCCTCATCTTTCTGCTGTGGAACAGCTGATAGTTTTGAACTGCTGACCTTCAGGTTAGCAGCCTGATTCATAACCACTACGCTATCAAAGTCCTTAAGGGTTTCTTATTTGCACTTTTGCTGTTTGATAACTGACACTTGATATCTCCCCACCCCACCCCCAACCTCACAGACTGTGACATAGTTTTTTTTTCATGGATGAAAGCGAACACTTCCTCTTAATTGTATACCCATACTGATTTGACACATAGTAACATCAATACTGAATGACTGAATGAATGTAAAATGAAGAAATTTCCTCTTATAGCTAACACAGTTCCAAATATGTTTAAATTACTTTTTCTTCCATGATACTGTTTTAGGCTTGTTTCCAGTTATTCATGTTGTCAATAAATATGTAATTGCTGTCGTTGTTATGTGCTGTGGAGTCGGTTCCGACTCATAAGAACCCTATACAGGGTTTTTGAGGCTGTAAATCTTTATGGGAGCAGAAAGCCTCATCTTTCTCCTGTGGAACAGCTGGTAGTTTCGAACTGCTAACCCTCAGATTAGCAGTCCGATTTGTAACCACTGTGCTACCAGAGTAAGTGATGCCAAACACTGAGAGTGACATTGAACCAGGTACAAGGGATGCATGATAAAGTAGGTCTCTGCTCTTGTGGGGCTTATATATTAAAGTAGGATTGTTACTCCAAGTGTACATTCATTTTACACAAGACATTTCTTCTCCTTTTTTCCCTCCTTGTTCCTTCCTTCTTTCAACTTCTCAGCTTCTTTCCTTAGATATACTGTTCTTCATTTGCCCACAAGGTTAGCAATTGGTTTTTTGAAGTCCTAACACCTTAGAATAATGAATCAAGAAGTCCCAAAGTGGAGAATAAAACAAGAGAAAAAGAAGTAAACTAGATCCATGTACCCAAACCCTAAAAAGTAGTTAAGCCTCACCTATCATGAAAAGGATCCACTGCTTCCCTTCAAATGTAGACAGCAGCCTCTCCCACTGGGTTTGCCAAAAGAAGCCGGAAGCACCCCAAAAACGCTGCAGATGCCTTGGAAGAAAAAACCATGGTGATTACTGGGCAAAGACTGGTGGGCAGACAGCCCATCCCTCCATGCTCTGCCCACAGACCACCATTCTACTCCTCCCAGGTTCTGAGCTAAAAGGGCCCGGCTGACTCACCATGTGACAGAGTTCCATAAGGCCACAAACAAGAGAAGGCCAGAGCCCAGAATGAAAGCCGTTCTTCTCATGGAACCCCAGATGTGTCCCTCCTGGGTCAGAACAAGAAAGTGTCAGAGACTAGAAAGCCTCCTGCCTTCACACCCGGCTCACTGGTGAGGCAGAGCAGGAGTACTGCAGATCAAGATCTCAATCAAACCACCAACGCTTATCTGCTGACCTGTCCCCGTTACTAAGGGAGATCTCTTCCTTATCAAGAGCTCTCTGGCTATATCTGGGTGTGTTTATGAAAATTGAAGCTCTGGGTTGAAGGAGAGAAAAGAACTCACCTGACTCCAGAGAAACTAGCAGGCAATTGAATCACTCAGAGGGCAGGTAAGCTTTGACTAGCCATGAGATTTTATCACCAGTCCTCCTGACTCACATTGAGATCCATGAACTGCACATTGGAATAACAGACACTTTTTAAATCCCTATGTCTGAACTCCTCCCCAACTCAATTACATAAGAGTCTGTAGGTCAGGCCGGGCTAGCAATGGACAGACAAGGCGAGGAACAGCTGTCATCAAGGGATCTGCAGAATCCTGGATAAGAAAATCCTGTTCAGTCACAGGGACCTCATTGAGTTGATGGACCGGGCCTTATTTTCACATCCCCATGGCCTTCTTGCCCTTAAAAGAGAGTGAATGGATTCATGTTCTGTTAGCTAACAGGGCCTTGTACAGGGGGGCCAGGGGAATTGTCTAATAGGATACTATGTTTTAACCCAGACCTTTGAGGTCTGAAGCAGTATAGCTGTGTTTTCATTGTCCCATTCTGAGCAACGAGAATCTGCATGGAATCATTTCTTCTCTGCACTACACTATCCTGGTTTTGTTTTGCTTTTTATAAAAAAACCAAAAAGTCATTTTCCATGGCCAGTAAAAAGCTTTTGAAGGGCTGGTGCTCTTCAGGATCCTGAGCTCTGAATGTGAGTTTTGCTCTCTGCCTTGTCTCCTTCTTTTCTAGAGGGTTACACTGTCCAAATCAATCAGAGAATATATATATATTTTTAAATTTGTTTTATTATTTTTATTTTAAAAGCATGGGCCAAGAGTGCCACACTGGTTACCTGGGGCTTGTGCATAATATATTGTTTTGAATTCTGAGAATCCTTTTCAGGAACTTTTTCAGACTGAGTATCATTCCTCTTCTGAATTTAATTTTTCATCTTTTAAAAATGATTTCATGTATTTTGTTGTTGTTGAGTAGCCATACACCAGAACATGCACCAATTCAGTAATTTCTACGTGGACAATTCAGTGACATCGATTTCATTCTTTGACTTGTAAAACCATTCATTTTCACCCTCCTTTTCTTAGGAGTTCTTCCTCCATTAACAAAAATTCACCTGCCCTCTATGGTTCCAATCTAATCTTTTGAGTAATGTTCCATCTTCTTAATGAAATCAAACTAATTTGAACTGAAAACCTCAACTTCATGAAAAGGATTAGATATTCTTCCGAAAGGCAGTGGCGTTTTCTAATCTCTGCAGCAGCGCAGATGAAAGGAATATAAACAGGACAAAGGTCTCATGTGAAACAGGCACAAACAGGACAGAAGTTATCTGGGTTCAAGAGCTGGTTCCAGGCCCAGTTTCCAAACCCCAGACCAGTTACTGAAAGGGGTGGTTTCTAAAAGCTTGGGGTGTGGGGTTGCAGCAGGCAGACCAGGCATGATAGTGGTATAACCCTCACACTTTCAGTGGCTTTCTTTTTTTTTCCCCCCAGTGGCTTTCTTGCACATGTACTTTGCCACACAAGACAAGGGACTTTGGTATAAAGAGAATTGGAGTTCCATGATTCCCTACTCAGCTACTGAAATGACACATCCCACTGTGTCAACTACTCTGAAACTTTAGGGGAGATGTTAGGTGACGGCAAATATGGAAAAAGCCACTGGCTCCCTTCTCAGCATTTGTGGGTGGTGGGGTGCTGGCATTTACCTGCTTTGACTTCTCATTGTGCAGCACACTTTCAGCTTCTCCCTTCATCTGCAATGAAAAAGCACAGGTGAAGTAGCCAAGGGAAGTCAAGGGGAACGCTTAGGCTGACAGTGATTTTTAACACTGGAAATACATTAAAATTCCCCGTGGAGTTTACAAAAATCCCTGCCAGGGTCCCACTTTGGAAGATTCTGTTCGAATTGATCTCAGGCATCAGTAACTTGAGTGCAGGGGTTGGAAATGGGAGTATGTCTGCCTAGAAATAGCTTTCTCATAAAAATAAATGCCAGGTACAAGTTTTGTAACATAAAGGGGGGAGTAGCTAATCTTACATTCCAGGAACAGAGGATCCTAGGACCATCAAGGGAGAAGAGCACAAGCGGAATATGGGACTCTATCCAGAGAAGCAGCAACACCAGAGATGGGGGCAGAGATGGGGACATGGCAAGATACAGCAGCTGAGGACTGTAGCCTCATGGAAAGAGAAAGACTAGGTGCTGGCAGCCAGGAGGCAGGCTTGCAGAATGTGTCCTTTTGTTGTTTAAATGATTATCTATTTCTGAGTGTTTCGTATATCACACACCCCCTCCAAACAAAAACAAAAACAAAAACAAAACAGAGGGAATAGAAGCAAATATTATTGAATGATAATGCATTGAGGGATAGTAGCCATTGCAATGAAACAGTGAGTATAAAACCGATGTTCTCCCATGTAAACAAACTGTCACTCAATTCACAATAAAAACTTTAAAAAAATTAATTTAAATGAAATAAATGCCAGATCTTACTTCTGAATAGCTTAACTTTCTAAATCCACTTTCTTAAATTTCACAATCCACTGTCTTTAGAAATCTGTCCTCTGAACCTCTACTGTACCCAACTGTTCTTCACCTCTGGCCCAGAGGAGCTATGAGCCAGGCTCTGCCCAGGACCTGCTTTGCTTTCTTGTTGTTGTTGCAAAGTCCCGTTGAGTTGGTTCTGACTCATAGCAACCCAGTATAGGATTTCAGAGGAGTGGCTGGTGACTTTGAACCATCGATCTTGTGGTTCAAAGGAACCTTGCTGTCCTACGCGTATACTACAGTGCCAAACCAGGACTTGCTTTCTTAACTTCTATGAAAGTTGGTGACTACATACATATGGACTGGATTCATAATGCTGACTGAAATGAAACCACTACTCATGATACAAACGGCACCAGGACCAGTTGCAGTCAAATTGATACCAACTCTTGTTCTTGAGAACACCATAGATATGATTAGATATACAAGCCATTAAGACAGTGAACCTTGGGCTGACACCTTTCTGAAAGTCAAATCTCAGTTGTATCTATCACTTGTTAGTTGTGTTATAGCATTGGCTAAATTATCCTCTTTCATACTGACTGTTTCTTTTGTTGTAAAAACAGGAATAAAAATACCGTATCATTCAGGGCTGTTGTGAGGCCAAAGCACAGGGGTTAGCTCTGCAGGTGTGTGGTTAGAGTCTGTGTCTTATTTGTGTATTCATCTTTGGAGGTAGGTCCCTGAGGGTTGCAAAAGTTTGTGACCTCAGGTGCTGACTCAAGTCCATCTAGAGGTGCTGCAAACAAAAACGTGGCAATATAATTCTGAAAAGTGTGCCACTGAAAACTGCAGTGCACAGCTCTGCTCTGACAACTAAGGGGCTGGAATTGACCCAAGAACAACTGCTTACTGGTACCAAGATACTAAATCGAAGCTCAGAAGTCAATAGTATACATACACACACAGAGGAGAGCTTCAAAATTTGAGGAAAAATTCCAGTATCTTGTCATTCCATTTTTCCTTGAATGAAGCCCCCTTGTGTGTGTGTATTTATGTGTATATATATATATATATGTTGTTGTAATTGCTGATGACCGATAGATCTTGGCTGAAAGCAGAGAATATCA